ACAGTAACGGTTGCAAGAAAAACACAAAAAGAGTAAACGTCCATTTCTAAATGTGTACTAAAAACGAAAAGCCGGAGACAGGCAGCTTAAAGCTGCGACGAGCGCAAAAAGCTGGGCTAGTTTGCTTGAAAGAGCAAAAATAGAAATCTAAGCCGACTGCTAGTTAATAGAATAAATATGGTCATGGTGCTACTGTAATCTGGAGGCAGAGGGGGCTTTGTCACAGAATCTTGCCCTTATAAAGACACACGGCGCTTCGGCCTCCATCTGCGCTTGATGAGAATTACAACTCCCATTTAGATGCAAATACAATTAGCTCTCCCTGCCGTGCACATTAGAGCCCTTAGCAAACACAAGTGAGGTTTTTCTCTGCCACTTAAGAAGGCATCTGTGTCCCCACGCGCAGCGCAGGTGGAGGAGGGGAACGTGGCGATGCCAGTCAGCACCGGTTGGCACGGTGTCAAGATTCGGTGAGTAAACACCTCCGACACCTGGTAGCTTATCACAATATGCCACATTATGAGGTAATTAGCAGAGGTGGCACCTCTCCACTTCAGCATCAGTGCTAGGCAAACAGATGCAGGAGCACACACGTGCAGATAAATATTTGTTCTGACAGCTTGACACTTGAACGGGAAAATATGTATCTGGAATTTGACGTCGCACTTTTGCTTTGATAATTCGCAGCGGTGAAGTGCGGGTATCAGGCTTAGTACATAATACAGTCATTAGCGAAATCCCGAGTTCATTAACATGCAGACGTTAATGCGGCGACAAACGCGAAACATCTTGTTGGCACATTTCCAGCGAGCACTCGTAGTCCCTTTGATCAGCACGTGCGGAATCGAGGAGAATAGGAACGCACAGCCCTAGTAGTCCACGAGGTTAATGATATTATTGCACCTATCTGCATATTTAATTACGATCCTTGTTAACGATAAGTGCTGTTCATTCAATTTGCTTCATTTTGTAGCTGGCACGTTTTCAATGGGAGCCTGCCAGCCAGGCTGTCGGGGAGTAGACACAATTAAAACTGCATTCATCGAATCTGTAAAACAGATGCTAACAATCAGGTGCTTTCTCTCAACAAGATCTCTTCAATCTTTTATTACCATTATGCCAGTTAGACGTAATTATCCCATTGCCAGCTCATGCCAGCTCGCTTCTTATTCCGGAAGGTTGCTAGAGTGTTCGTCTGAAGTATCAACAGCAGTGGGGCTCTTAAAACACAGACACATTCAGTGAAATTAAGCATTTTCTCATTAGCCGGAGGCTATTGGGCTTATAAATTATTCATTCCTTCCTCACAAAAGTACATTAATCAATTATGAAGATATAAAGAAATTAAACATGGGGAGAAAGACAAGACTTTCATATTAATATGAAGACAGATAGTACTGCTACCGCTTGAAAATCAATACTTCTGTGAGTAATCTGCACGCTTCGGCGGCAATATGAATGCGTAATCAGATGTGATCTCGGTTCTGGATACAGAAAAAGGCTTATTCTTTTATTGGTCGCTATATAGAGCATCTGCAAAAAGAAAATTAACCCTGTAAGTAAATAAATAAACAAACAAACAGGAGAAACAAATAAAATCACCCTTGTAAAGAAGCGAAAAACGCTGCAAGTGGAAATTCTGGCAGACACACCACCAGGGACCGTAGCAGAGCGAGCCATGCAATTGGTTTGAACCCTGTGCTGCACAAATTTGTTTTTAATGCATTTTTAAAGTTTTACTGCCATTCAAGGACACTCAGGGAATAAAACTCATCCATTCAAAGTGTTGACCTGATTGGTGTTAACAGCTGAAACAAATCTGCTTGGCTCCATCAGCACTCCCTGAGCTAAGAGACACAACCCTGTCTCCTGTCAAAGGCCAGTCTAGCTGCGAATCAAATATTCTGTTGGACAAATCATTTGCAGTATAGCGACCAAATAACTGCACTATGTAGGAATAAAATGATTCAAACATTTAACAATTCTGCCTGTATGTGAGTAACTCTCTGTTGTTCTGATTGAAAACATTGTTTTAGACTTTTGAACCTGTTCATGCTTTGAAAATGTTCATGCTTATAGAAAACTTTTTAAATAATTACTTACAAATTTGGGCACAAAGTGAGCCAAGACTAAAAAATAAAAAATAAATAAAATAACTATATTGAATTAAATTACAAATAAAATAAAATATAAAAAATAAAATAAAATTACAAATAAAATAAAATTTCAAAATAAAATAAAACAAAACAAAACATGTTGTAATACTTTCCCCTAACGCTTATTTGCAGGCATGAGAGGGAATATAAAAAGGTGAGACATTCTGCATTTTGGCTTCATCTTGTCTCATAACACTTTTGGAAAATATTATCTAACACAACAGCGCTGTGAATCATTTTCCTAAAACCATATAAAAATCATTACCCCCAAGCTGCTCGAGTCAAAATCACACAGATAGAAAGACGTGAGACTCATTTTAGATCTGTTTGTTCAAAGCGCATCATCTACGCATCATCTACGTCATGTTACTCAAAGATGCGTCCTGACTGATGAGGTCACAGGAAGTTGCATAACCATAATTCCCTTTATGCCCATTCCTGATGCCCTCATTACTGTCCAGAGCCCATATCAGAATGTTTATCTCTGTGCTTTTGGAGAAACAGTGATAAATCCATCCTCAATTAAAGATTATATGTCAGAGGTGCTGGGCTGAAATTGAATTAAAGGGAAAAAAAGGCTCCTTAATATCCAGTTGATATATCCCTGCAGGTGACGGCTGTATCATAAAACCTTTTCTTCTTGCTTAGCAGACAACTGCTGAGCCTCACTGAGATTCATCTGTAAAAGCTACAGTACTTACAACACCTTCACTCGCCGAACTGACGATATCATTGTCCTGATAGGCTAATTCACTTCTCATCATACTGGTTTATTGAGTATAACACCATTTCAATTTCTGGTTCTGTGTCTGGAAAAAGGGATTTTTTTTTTTAGTACTGGGCATAAAAATCGAGTGCATTATAAGGAGCTCTATTCACTGCTTATGATCATAGCCAATCAGTGACCCTGCTGTGAGTTTCTCATTAAAAACCTCATTTTTTGGATGTGCAGCAAATTAATGTCACTCTGTGCAATACAGCTAAAGGTTATAAGGATGATGGCTGTATTTGCTTTTACACACTCACCTTTTACCAAAGTGTGTGTGCCTTTTCTTGCAGACCCTCTTGCGGTGGTCAAATACTTGACTTTCTCTTCTTTCTTACTTGCACCACCTATCAAGTCACACAAACACACACGCATGCACATCACATCAAAAATAAATATTCAGATCAGCAGACATCTGTCAGTGCATCTTCATGCTCAGAATAGGGTGAGCTCATAGATTCTGCCATTTGCTTGATTACAAAGGACCTTGTGTGAGCAAACAGACTCTTTTGCTGGATTGGAGTAGACTTATAATGATGGAGAGGAGGAAGGTAAGAAGGCAGACAGAGTTTAAGCAGCCGTGTTCCTCTGGGAGGAACGCAAATTAACCCTCGCCTCATCCTGCCTGCCTGCAGCATCCTCATGTTTAGTACCCAGTTTAGTGATGGTGGCATCTGTACTGATGATCTGCATCATATTCTGCATTTCCAGAATCTAAATATCACCATCTAAATATCAAATTCAAAATTGCTTTATTTGCATGACTGTAAATAATTCAATATTGCCAAAGTTTGGAATATATGTACAAAAAGATCATAAAAATAAAGATCACAATAATAGAAGAAAATATTTAATTGAAATGAAACTTAATTTCAATAAATAGTGTAACAAATTAGAACATGTGTGAATACATTTCAACATATAATATATTATACATTAATATTAATATAAAACAACTTAAATTATGAATTGTTTGTATGTGTATGTGTGTATATATATATATATATATATATATAGTAGTTCATTGACAAGCTACGCAAAATCGTGTTCATAATCGATCTGCGATAATGAACGCGATATTGCCTAATTGTCAGTGAACTACGGCTCTGTGTAGTAAATGCCGCTCCATCTGAAAGCAGGTGATGGAGATTTACTACTAATCACGGAACCGGCTTTACTGACGAGATGTGCATGACAATCGCATGCGATTAATTGCACAGCCCTGCATTATATAGTATAACATATATAGTCATATAATATTTTCAGTCAATGTTTTCAAAAATATTTTAAATTGTTTTTTCATATAACTAAGCAAAAATAGCAACATCCACTAAAGTATGCAAAATTACTTAAAAATCACTTTTGTTCACTTGTGATATTGTGATACAAATATGTAACTAACAATTTCCATCTTTAAAAATAGTTTTTTTATTTTATATTTAGGAGATTTAGAAATTTATGGGAGAAATTCAAACTGGTCATCATTCGAAACCTTTGCTTGGCCAACGGCCAAGAATATTATTTTAATCAGTCTAATTTTTCATGTAAGAATGTATACGGTATGTTTTCAAGTGCACATGCTTGATATTGGAGGCTGTGCCAAATGTGACAAGAACACACTGTTTATATGTAGGCTTACCGCAACCATCAATTTATGAAGACATAACCCACAGACAATAAAACAGCAGTGGTTTTAATTTGGTGACACCTCATATGGAGGGGTAGGAGGCAGTAAAAGCAAGTCTCAGTCGAGATGCCATTTCGAACCTTCAGGGTTCACAATATTTGCCTCTTGTCGCAGAACGAAAGCGCTGCCTAATACACAACACATGTAAGGCTTAGAGCGCAATCAGCATGGAATATTGTTAAAATTCAACAGCATCTAAAAGTTGTTTCTATTCAATCAAAGAGGACGGAGGGAAAGGGATTTTTGTCGTCTCCGTGCCTCATTCTTCTTTTGTGCACTGTGGAACAAAGGAGTCTTAATTTCCTCTTTCAGACTTTGAATAATCCTGCTCTTGGCCTTGAGCTGTTTCCTCAGATCTTCCACCTGAGCCTTCAGAGGTGCTCTGGCTTTGGACTGAAAGAGAGGCCACAGAGAATATTAAGTGCAACTTGAAGCCTTTCAATATTTAAATGCGCTTTGAGATGTAAACAGCACATATTTCAACCATAGATTTCGCTTATGAAAACACACGCAGTACAAATATACATCTAACATTCACATTTTTCCTCTCAAAATGATTCAAATTAGCAACTATACTTAAAATATACTTAGCAGTAGAGCATTCGAGCTGTAAAAACAACATGCACGCTTTCAAAAGATGCCCGCAATTTGCGTGAGACATTTATAAGGAGCCATTAGTTGTTCTTGTGAAAAGCTGACTAAAATTGTTCCAGACACTATTCTGCTCCTAATGGTACCTCTGTGGCTTTGTTAGAGTTTCAAAGGTAATGGGGCTCTAAAGAGAAAGTCTTAATGAATCTCCCAATCTGCATTGTATAGTTTGTATAGTTTTTTCCCCTTTCTTTTTCTTTCTTTTCTCCTCAGAACCCCCTGGTGAGCTCCATAATTACTATGTAGTGAGTAGGGCATTCTTTATGCTGTTAATTCTGTGTGGCCCGTGTGTCTCAGTCCCCTCCTTCTTATGCTGTTAATTCTGTGTGGCCCGTGTGTCTCACTCCCCTCCTTCCTGCATCATTATTGTCACACTGTCACTCACCGGGCGGCGGGCGTTCAACCACACACCTGGAGTGCAGCGGAATTGGGGTTGAACCGCACACAGAGCACAAACGCCCCACGAAAACAACATGTATGACTTGTGTCTCTATAGTCATTATTTTTAGTACACAATGAGGCAGCTTATGTGGGACAGCTGTTTAGTGAATCCCGCATTTTATTCACTAACCACCTGCAATCTGGCTTGACCAGGTGCTATCTGCACTGATATATGCTCCTTGCATATTTCAATTAAATCATTGTTTTAAGCATGAAAATGTCTCCTTTCTATGCTAATTAGGCTTGTTATACTTTGATCGTGCCTTATTCCTCAAGAACTACTCACTATTTGCTATTCAACAACATTATTTCCACATAAAATAATACTTATAGCAAACATGGCAGCACTGATTCATCAAATGATATAAAAAAGCATCATAAAGCAGGCATATATCTATACCAGGATTATTATCATTAATCATAAAAACCATATGTGTCTGTATACATATATATTACTTGAAATAAAATAAAATAAACTTATTTTCTTTCATTTTTAACAAATATACACTAAAATAAAGTAATAAAAAATTATAAAAATAAACTAATTCAAAATATTAACATACACAATAATAGTATATCAATGATACTAAAATAACATGGATCCAGGCACAGATACAGTACACTTACAGGATTTTAAAAAGCTGTAAAGTTTACTAGATTACACCAAATGACTTTTTTTTTTTTTTGCATCATTTCCCGATTTTCCCAATTATTTTAGTGCCAAATTATATGCGCTAAAATAAAAACACATTTACAATAAAGTTCCGTTTAATATGCGTTAACGCATTGTTTACCATAAAATATTAAAAAATAACAATAAATAAAAATATTTTTCATATTTTTTTCTAGGTTAATGTTAATGTACAACTTAAAATATAAAAAATGCATATTACCTGTTAAAATTAAGATTAGTAAATGAATTAAACATATGATTGCTAATGCATTAACTAATGTTAAATTTTGAACTGTATTTTATTGTAAATTGTTACTACACTGTACAAAGTGATTACATTAAAGAGCTATTTCTACCTAATTCAACCCATAAAAATAATTTTATTTTTATAAATTAATGTATTTAATAATAATAATAATTCATTACATTTATATAGCGCTTTTCTAGGCACTCAAAGCACTTTACATTGTCAGGGGGTATCTCCTCATCCACCACCAGTGTGCAGCATCCACCTGGATGATTTAGATTGACTCAGAGATGTCAAATACTATTTCTGACTTGAATAAAATCAGCTCATGTTATAATTTTTTTTAAGTGTATAAATGTTGCTATCGGTGGCCGCAGTGAGCATTTAAACATGGCTGATAGATCTGAAAAATTAGTGAATGAACTGAAAGGAACTATGCTGACGCCTCTGTCCAAAACGCTATCAAAAACAATAAATCAGGTTGTGGAGTTGCATCCACTTTCACAAATACATGCAGAGCTCAACAGGAAGCAGTTAGGCCCTGACCGCTGTGACACTCATCAACAGCGATAAGGAAAGGAGAGGCAGTGGCTATGTTTTGGCAGATTTTGGACAGGCGATCCAGAGGGGCCAGGCAGCAGAGAGGGCTCTTGATGTGACAGAGCATGAGATGGAGGGTTGGAGGAGTCGGTGCACTTCCTTCACACTGAGCTCGGCTCCCTGAACCTCTCCAGCTCAGCACGACACTCTAAACTTCTCTGACAGAGCGGGCAGGCAGTGCCGGTTTCCTGATGAGCTCTGCGAAGCTGCTAGCGACAGCTGTCAAGCGCCATGCTATCAACCACCTCTTGACTGATATCCCAGCCACATCCTATAAATATTGCTTCTTAATGTTTCCACTGCAAAAACTCATGCGCCCCATGTTTATATTTGGATATGTAAATGGCAGCTTTATAGAAAACTAACACAGAGGCTCACGCAAGCTTCTTTTCCCCTGAATGCTGTCCCGTGTCATCAAAAGCATAAGGAGATAAACTGATGTGCGGAATGACGGCGGAATCAGGTGCGAAACAGAGGGGGGAATGTGAGACATGCTCTACATCATGGAAAGATTGAGGGGGGAAAAAAAAAGAGTAGGAAATCACAAAACATTAGTGGAAAGTAGTGCAGGTCTCAAAACAGTCACCTGATCTCTCGAGCTAATGAAGTGAAGTATCAACAGGGAGGACATAGATATATGCTTAAAGGAATTTAACCCTTTTTCACAAAAGGAGATATTTTTAACTTTTAAAGGTTAATGACATTCTTTATACACTGTAAGAAAAAAAAATCGTAAAAGGTACTGGTAATTTTCTGCCAGGACATTATTGGTTAAGTTTACGGACATTTCTTTTTACCCTTTAACACAATGCAATGCATAAAGAAAGTAAAACACCTGTGAAAAATCAATATGGAAAATTCCTTCATATTAACCCAGTACACTGTAGTCTACAAGAAAACCAGCTGACACATTCAAAATCTCTTATTTTGTGTTTAAAAAAGTACAGACACGGAGGACATTGATATACACTTAGTATAGTTATCCCCAAAATGAAAATTCTCTGTTCATGTTGTTCTAAAACTGATTGGCTTACTTTCTTTTGTGGAAACACACACACACACAAAGAGAGATATTTAAAAAAAAAAATGTCTTCTTTTGTTAATACAATACAAGTCAGTGGCATTCATCGTCATTGTAAAAACTAAAATAAGGAGAAGCCATACAGGTCTGGAGGAGCATGAGTGTTGAGTAAATGATAAGACTGCAACTACATTGCTTATTAAAAATGCACAACAGCCACATTTTAAATTTGATGTCCACTGTATAACAACTACAAAGCGATTCACAATGGACTTATGGTGAGAACGTCCCATTTTTAACTGAGTTTCAATTACTCACAATTACATCACGCATTCAAGCATTTTATCCAGTGGCGGTTGCCAAATATCAGTCATCTGACATTCATAGAAAAACTTGTGAAGTGTGAGATGAAAATGAAAGCGCTGTGAATAGACGAGAGGTTTTTGAAAGGTAACTAACTGCAGTCAATTTGAGTCCCATTTCCTCTCAGAGACATTTTCAAAAAGCAGCCTGTTCCACTGGCGGATTGTTCCAGGCTCTCCCATGCTGGGTAAAAGGCTCCTGTCTCTTTTCTTTGGGGCCCAGATTCCTCTCCGCACACACCCCTGACAGTCAGTCAATGCACAGGGGCCAAGGGAGGCGTGCAAATTGCCACTCTCAGACTCCGAAACCCAGAGGGCATCCATTTAGCCCTTCACTACAGCCGCGTGTGTGCGCAGGGGCGCCTGTGCATGCTAGCGTACATGTGCGTTCGCGCCCGGTGAACGCAGCCCCTTAACGTGTCAGTACATCAGCGTTCATGCCACCTCTGATGCCAAAATGATATGTGATTAATCATTCATCATGACATGCATATGCTCACACTTATCGCATCAAAAACATATGCCAAACAGAATGCGCAAAATTGCCCTAGACGAAGAAAAGACTACGATGCTACTCTGAGATCACCTAGTGGTATTCTGACTTCCAGACGTGTTATTATTCAGTTATTTGTAACAATTTTGTTTTTCATCTGCAAGAATCGTTGGAGATACCAAACAACCGTTTTGCAATTAACGTTCAGCACTTATATGTTAATGTTTAATATGCCGTAGTTTCACGTTGAAACACAATTTCCAAACATTAATGCGTTATAACGTGCCATGGTAAGTGGCGTAAAAAAAAAATGGCTTCCACGCACTAAGATAAAATTAGAGAACTAAACAGATTACATCATGTCAGGCTGACAAATGAAACAATCTGCTATATTTAGCAGCTCAGAATCTTAATGATCATTCAGCGCCCGGTGTTGTAGACCGGCGAGAGAAATGGTGGCGTGTTTTGTTGGCTGCAAAAACAGCTTCTCAATTTTTCAATCCGTCATTCTGCTCTATTAGCAAAGCCTAACACAATTAGTTATGAATATGCAGTAATAACATGCAAATTGTTCCCTCCCAATTGCCCCTAGGCAGTGGTCTTTGCCTCTCTAAACTCAATTCTTTCTACATCATTACAGAGGCATGGCATAATTCATCAGAACGGGGGGGGGGGAAACACCTTGGCCCAATTTCCTGCGCCTGGCTCGGGTAACCAATCGGCAACTGTTAACCGGAGTGTGACGGTGGTAGCGGGCGGCGTTAACCAAGCTTTTCCCTGGCACCTTCCCACTCTGTCACTTGTACACATCTCCCCTGGGTAATGTTAGACACTGCATTTGAGCCTGCCAGAACAATTAACCCTTCTGTTAATTAGAAGGAAATGTCAGACGCACAGATGGCACA